GCACTGGCTGTGGAGTGAGGAGGACCTGAGTTCAAATCCAGCCTCAGACACTCGACACTTACTAGCTGTGTGACCCTGGGCAAGTCACTTAATCCCACTGCCTACCCCCCCAAAATTCTCTCTCCTGGATCTATTTTCCAGGTCAGTTGTTTTTCCAATGAGATATTTCACATTGTCTTCTATTTTTCATTCTTTTGGTTTGGTTTTATTGTTTCTTGATTTTTTCATAAAGTCATTAGCTTCCATTTGCTCAATTCTAATTTTTAAGTAATTATTTTCTTCACTGAGTTTTTGTAACCTCCTTTTCCATTTGGCTGATTCTATTTTTTAAGGAGTTTTTTTCTTCAGTGAAATTTCGTGCCTCTCTTTCCATTTGGCTAATCCTGCTTTTCAAGGCATTCTTCTCTTCATTGGCCTTTTGGACCTCTTTTACCATTTGGCCTATTCCAGGGGTGAGGAACTTGTAGCCTCAGGGCCATGATGTGTGGCCTTCTAGATCCTTGGGTGCAGCCATTTGACTAGGTCCAAGTTTTACAGGATTTGTTCTGTAAAGTTTGGATTCAGTCAAAGGGTGGCACTTGAGGACCCAGAGGGCCACATGTGGCCTGGAGGCAGCAGGTTCCCCACCCCCGCCTAGTCTGATTTTAAGGGATTATTTTCTTCAGTATTTTTTTGTGTCTCCTTTATCAAATTGTTGACTTGTTTTTCATTATTTTTTTTTGCATCACCCTTATTTCTCTTCTCAGTTTTTCCTCTACCTCTCTTACTTGATTTTCAAAGTCTTTTTTGAAGGGGCAGCTAGGTGGTGCAGTGGATAGAGCACCGGCCCTGCACTCAGGAGAACCTGAGTTTAAATCTGGCCTCAGACACATAACACTTACTAGCTGTGTGACCCTGGGCAAGTCACTTAACCCCACTGCCTAGCCAAAAAAACCAAAGCAAACAAAACCTTTTTTGAGCTCTTCATGACCTGAGCCCAATACACATTTTTCTTGGAGGCTTTGGACGCAGGAGCTTTGATCTTTCTTGTGTGTTTTGATCTTTCTTATCACTATAGTAACTGTCTGTGGTCAGAATTTTTTTCTCTTACTTGTTCACTTCCACAGCCTATTACTTGACTTCTAGCTGTTTGTTAAAGTAGGGCTGTTCTTCCAGAGGGGAGAGTGCACTGTCCCAACCTTCAGGGGTTTTGTGTAGCTGTTTTCAGAGACACTTCTAGGGATTTGTAAGTATTCTATTCTTCCTAGGGGGTATGGCCTAAGGAAAGGTGTTTACTACTCTCCTGGCCTGTGCTCTGGTCTGTGAGTGACCATAGGCACTCTTTTCTGCCCTGGAACTGTGATGAGGGTCCCTCCTCCCACCGTGGCCACAAGCTCTGGTGCGCTAGTGCTCCTCCTTGCCCTGGGACTGCCGCCCAGGACTTCCACCTGGATCTTCTATGGGCTGAGAGCTCCAGAAGCAGTTGCTGCCACTGCTGCAGATTCAGTGGCTCACAACGCCTGCTCCTAGTTTGCTGGGGCTAGGCCTGTGCTGGGGCAGCCTGCACTGGACCGGGCTTCACTCTCACCCGTGTGCTACAGACCTTTCTGGATGACTTTCTAAGTTGTTTTTGGTGTCTGTGGGCTGAGAGGTCTAGAAACCCACTGCTGCCACTGATTCAGTCACCCTGAGGCCTGCTCCAGGTTTGGTGGGGCCAGGTCTGTGCTGGAGAGGCCTGAGCTGGACTCTGCCTTCTCTCTCACTCTGCTACAACAGACCTTTCCTGCCCACCTTCTAAGTTGTCTTGTGCTAGAAAATTGTTTCACTCTGTTTTTTTGTGGGTTCTGCTGCTCTAGAATTTGTTTAGAGTCATTATTTAAAGCTATTTGGATGGGTTTGGGGGGAAAGCTCAGGTGAATCCCTGCTTTTATTCTGCCATCTTGGTTCTACCTGTCATTTCTCTTTTCTTTGCCTTTGCATGGGCTCTCTGTTCTTACTTCTTTCTTTTACAATTTTTAATTTCCTTCTAAGGCTCTGGTCAGGGGCTAGCTTCTGCCTTTGCCAATCCTCTCAGCATTCATGTTCTCTTCTGCCTTAAATTACTTTGTATTTACTTAGAAGATCATAGGTCTTAACTGGAGGTGAAAGAGACCCCTGAGGTCCTCTATCCTGAGGTGTCAAACTCCCAGCTTGCCCGCCAGCTGGTAAAACTACCAGCTGCCCCAAGAATCAGATGAGAATATAATTGGGAAATGTTAAACAAAACAAATAAAAATACAATGCAACCTAATGTTACTTTGCATTTTTTTAAGCCAAAGTGAGGCTACAGGACTCCATTTCTATTTGACTTTGACTCCACTGATCTATTCCAACCCACTCACTTTACAGATGAGAAGAGGAAGAGGCCCAGGGAGATTATGCGACTTGTAAGAGTCACATATCAGAGGAATTATTTGCATCTAGGTTCTCTGACTCCAGAACCTGTGATCTTTCTACTGTACCAGATACTCCTGACTTACTGGTATCTGTATTCAGTGTAAATTTGCTCCCTCTTCCCTGGCCCTCACAGTGGAATCCTTGTGGACACCCCCAGGCTCTCAAGTAGTGTTTGCCAAATTATGTAGGAAAAACACCACAAGCAACTCAAGAAAGTCAAATATTGTTCAACAAACTGGGATTCTCTCCTATAGTTTATGAAAACCCTTGGTCAATAAGCTTATTCTATCTACTTGCAGGACCGTGCTATTTAGAAATAAGTGGTCCTAACAGGAATATGAGAAATATAGGTGATGTAAAAGCATTTCAAGTTACCGTGGTGTAGCCTAACAAAGAAACAGGATCATAGAGTTTAAAGCTGGGAGGCAGCTTAAGAATATCTAGTCTAAGATGGTGGACTAGAAGGAAAAAGTATAGTGAGCAACACTTCTCACCCCAACCTAAAAAAAAACCAAACCCAAAACCGACCCCCAAAATGTTCTAGAAAATGCACCAGACTGTATTCTTATGAGAAAATACAAGAAAAAAACCACATTGAGTTATTTTCCAGACCAGGAAATTTGAACTTTTGTTTCCTCCATTGCTATTACCAGGGAACTACATTGCCAGGGAGCTACAACTACAGAAAAACAATTTTGAGCCTTTTAAAAAAAATTTTATAGAATCAGATGCTTTTTCCCTTCTTTTTAAAAATCAAGTAATTTTTAGTTTCCAACATTCACTTTTATAAGATTTTAAATTCTAACCCCCCCCCAAGACGGCACATAATCTGATACAGGCTATACATGTACAATCACCTTAAACATATTTCTGTATTCGTCATGTTGTAAAAGAAGCATCAGAACAAAAGGGAAAAACCACGAGAAAGAAAAGAACAAAAAACAAACAAAAAACAGAAAATAGTACGTTTTGATTTGCTTTCAGACTCTGTAGTTCTTTCTCTGCATGTGGATTGCATTTAAAGTCTTTCTTTTCTTTTCTTTTTTAAAAAAATACTTTTTAAAGTTTTTGCAATAACAAAAGGACAATCACAACTTTGGAGAGCTGCTGATGAAGCAAGCTATCTGTCCCTTGACAGAGAAATAACGGATGCTAGTTGCAGACTGCCAGAGAAAATAGTTATCCAGGTGCCTGGCACACAGTAAGTGCTTAATAAATGTTTATTGACTGATGCCCCCCACTTCCTGACAGTCTGGGCTCGGGTTTCAGAATGAGACATATTTTTGGATATGGCAATGTGGGAATGTTTTGCTTAACTAACACATATTTTTTTATAAAAATGTTTTCCCCTTTTTTTGGGGGGGATGAGAGGGAAAAGAGAAAAAATAATGCTTAATATTTTTTTAAAAAGAGCGGGTGGGACATGTAAGGGTCATCGGGGCTAAATTCTAGAGGTTAGCTTAGTCCCTAACTTCAGCTCTCCAAGGAAGGAAGGAGTGGCTCTTCCCCTCCTTCCCCCTGGCCTGGACACGCCTTTTTCGGACTGAAGACGTGTGTGAGTGCGTGCGGGGGAAGCAGGGGAACTCTCTTTGTCGATCCCCGTTTGGGTCAGCAGTGGTACTTACCAGCGGGGTCTCTCAGGGCCTCGTTCATAATTGACCAGCAGCCTGGGCCCGTCTGGCTCTGGGAGAGATCGCAGGGCGGGAAAGGCTTTGGGTCAAAGCAGGACCAGGTGGGGCGTCCAGAGGCTCTCCAAGCCCCTCCTCTCCCGTAAGCCAGCCCCTGCAGCCCTTGGCGTCTACCCCGTCATGCTGAAGGGTTGTACCAGCTCAGTTTCTATTCCTCATTCAGCAGTAGGGGTTGAGTTTCGTTTTCTTTTTGAGGGCTGGACCTGGTGGAATGTCGGTTTTCTGCCTGCAGGACTTTCCACTCCGCCGAAACCAGCCCTGCTGGATTCCAGTGAGCCCAGACCACCAGGGCTGGACGCTTCCAGGGCTCAGGTCCTCCCCACCCCGAACAAGAACTTTTTTTTTTCAATTATTTTTATTTCTATGTTGGATTCACATCATCTGGATTCCTCTGCATCCCTTCTCCCTCCCCTTTTCTCTCTACTTTTAACAAAGATTAAAAAAAAGGTTTGGTAAAAAACCGAAACAAACCAAACATTCCTTTAATATAACATCCGCACCAATATCATTTTTCATTCTTGCCATTAGGGATATGGGATGCAGTGGATGCACACTGGACTTGGGAGGAGTTGGGGGATTTGGTTCAAATGCCTTCTGTTGCAGGTGACCACGGGAAAGCACTTTATATCTCTGAGCTTCAATTTCCTCACCTGTCAAACAGATAAGGAAGGAGATGACCTCTACCGCGATATCCCTACTCGCCTTGATTCAGACCCCTGGTCCTTTGCTTCCTTTTGGGGGTAACATATGTGTTGTGTGGGTGACCGGGCTTAGAGTTAATAGGTGTGCTTGGAGTGATAATCTCCCCAGACCAAACTGGAGCTCTGGGGGCAGTGTTTGGTGGGAAACGACTCCGTGTTCATCCTAAGCAAAACTGATCAGTCATGAGTCCATCTGTCGACTGGTAACAAGTTATTTATTTGAGCACCCATAGGGTACAACACACAGCACCATACAGTTTATGTGTGGGGGTACATAGTAAGTATTAGACACCATCCCTGCCCTCAAAGAGCTTACAGTGTAACAGAACAGATGAGACAAAACGTAATTAACGAAATATGCACAAATCATAGAAATACTTTTTTAAAAAGTTGATACCGAAGTCAGGGATTAAGGGTGGTTTATACCAAAGCTGGGATCTCAAATATTGCCTCATTAGCTGTACAACCCTGGGCAAGTCGCTTGACTTCTCAGCCTCAGTATCCTCATCTGTAAAATGAGGCTAATAATAGCTGCATCACTTACCTGACAGGGTTGATGTAAAAATCAAATGAAATAATGCATGTAAAGTGCTTTGCAAACCTTAAAGCATTACACAAATGTCAGCTGTTACAATTTCTTAGAAGTAGGGTCAATCAGAGGAAAGCTTGGGCAGATGTGCCTTGAGCTGCAGTTTTAAAGGAAGGAGCGCATGCATAAAGGTGGTAACCTGGGCAAAGTCTTGAAGAGGGGAAGGAAGATTTAGTATATTTGAAGCAAATGCTACAGGCTTTAATATATACTGGAAGGTGAGTACAGAGCTAAGCCCAGAGTTTTGTCTTTTTAATGAAAAAGGCTCAGAACAGTCACTTGACTGACACTGGTCATTTAGCCCCTCTGCTAAAAAATCTCCAATAGCTGCTTTCTGACTCCTGAGTAAAATTTAAGCTGCTCTGCCCAGCGTTCGAGGCCCTCCATAAACGTTCTCTTTTGGACTTCTATCACCCTTCTCCAGTCTGCACTCCACTCAAACTAGGCAACTGTATTACCCTATTACCCCAAACACATATTCCTCTGATGCCATGCTACTGCTCAGGTCACAGCTTGGAATGACCTTTCTCTTTATGGAATCCTTACCATTCCTTTGAAGTCCAACTGAAATGCAGCCTCTTTCAGGAATCCCTTTGCAATATCCTTCCCTTTCTCTAGGCATGACTTCCTCCCCACAGATGTCTAAGGGAAGTGGTTGAATCTTACCTAAATTATGTCTTCCCTAGTATGCAGCACACTGCAAACAACAGGCAGACTAATCAATATTTGTTTTACTGTAATGTGTTAAGGGAAATGTGAAGCTTTTTGATAGGTTCAAAAGGGAAGTTAGTTGTGCAAAGAAGGTGGTTCAAGGTCCTCAACCAGGCAAGTTTATTATTAAATTCCCAGTTGATGAAAACAAAGCAGTAATAGAAACATTTCCTTAAAAGTATCCTAGAATTCAGGCTGAGTTCTACACAGTCAGAAATAGTGAGGTCTTATTTTACTTTTGTTCTACCATATAGTTTCCATTTCCCCTACAAATAAAGCTTTTATGTCATGTCCAGACAGATCTGTCATAATTTAAGTTATAAGGACCAAGAAGATGTGAAGTTCGGCGCCTGTGGGGCATGAGCCAAAAACAAATATTCCTAAAAAACAGGAATAAGAGACAGAAGAATCTTTCAGTGACATATGCTTCCTTAAATACATTCATATTAAAAACAATGAATAAATTTTATGTTAATATTCCTACCATACAAAACCATTACTTCCACCCTACTTATTCAAAAGCTGAATGGTAGTAAAGAACCTATCTCTATATCTATTTGTCCACTTTCTGCTGTGTTTCTATGTTATTTTTACTGCAGGATTCCTAAATTACACTTAAGAAATGAGAAAAAAAATCCTAACCTCCCCCCAGAGCGGAATTCTTAAGACAATTTTCTTGATGGTGCATGCACTATTAATTAGGGGGTATTTTGTATAGTTCTTTCCTTAACTTGTACTAAATGACATTAGCATACACAAAATGCTTGTTCATAATATTCTTTTTCTACAAGTGTGAAAGCCACATTGACAAGGAATCTCTTTCTCAGGTATACTTCCAGCTTCATAACCATAATCCCAAGTGAGTTCTGTTCCTGCCTTCACATGCCTAAAAAGCAATAAACAAACAAGCAAATAAATAAATAAATTAAATGAAGAAACAAAGAAACACGCATACATCCCCCCACCCACCCACCATGAACAGCAGTCATACACGATGGAATTTTGTTTTGTATTATTCAACAATTTAACAAATGTAACTTTTTGTATAAGGCATTGTGCTAGATGTTAGTGATAAGAATAGAAAAATGACAGTCCTTGCCCTCACAGATGCTTACCATCTATTATCAGGGAAATGCTCTATATAAATCATTATGTAGAGGTATATATATCCCATTAACCCTTTTCACAACTATTTTCCATATGCCTTGTTTAAAATGTTTAAAATAGTCTGTTAGGAAGACCAGTTACTTTGTAACTGAAAAAAATTTTAAATCAATAAAAAAAATCAGTTATGATATAACTCATAATTAGTTGAATAGAGGTTTTGAGGAATGAAGACCTAGATAAGTAGCCAAAGCATGCAGATCAGGAAAGGACTATATTGTTACATGAGATCTTTTGACTTCTATAACATTTAACTTTCTGGGTTACATTTTATTTGAACCAGGTGTTCATACTTGTGACCCAGGACAGCATCAGAACCAATATGTCAATAATTCAGAATTGCACTGAATAGGAATAATGTTAGGTAATAAAAAATAGACAAAGGGGCCAAGTATACCTTTGTTCTAAGGACATAAAGAACCTGTCATTTTTTTGTGGTTGTTTTAAGGTCATGCCTCTTATGTTTTCCTCCTACATAAGCAAAATTAAATTCAAACCTTTTTGTAAAGAATGCCACCCATGGAAAATTTCTGTCATGTGTCTCCACAAAAACATTCTGCACGAAGAGATTTGGGTTACAACTATGCTGTAAAAACAAAAACAACAACACAAAAAGATCTGAAATATAATACAGATTAAAAAGAATTAGAAGACTCAAAGGTTTTTTCTTTAAAAGCACCAGAGCATAATTTGGTTTTCAAAGTTTATTCCTTTCTTTCTTTCTTTCTTCTTTCTTTTACTGTGGACCAAGTGCTCCAATTTCATTAGTTTCTGTTGATGGTTTGGTTATTTCAGATGGAAAAATCTGAACCTAAGGAGTCCAGAGCAACCCTCTGGCAAATAAGGATAGGAGTCCTAGGTGTCCTCACACATGCTGATACATATCACTGGGGAACGGGCAGGAAGGAAGGCCTGTTCTTGTTCCTTTGCAAGCATCCTGGCTCTTGGCTGTCTCAATGCTAAACATTCTCCCCACTACATAAGGCTACCTGGCTGCTGGGAGAGGTACAAAACACTTTGCCTAGATCACGCGCGTTATAATTTCCCTTGAATTTAGCCAACCTGAATCATAACAGCTGGGTAGTAAGATCACAGAAGTACACAGCTTGATGCCTACCATGGCCACGCCTGGAGGGGCAGCATGGTCAGATTTGGTGTGAAAGAGCCTTACATTTAAATCCCACCTTCAACATTTACTATGTCATCTCACTGCCCAAGTCATTTATCCTCCCTCAGCTTCTATGAAATGGGGATAATAAGGTATCTCCCTCACAGGGTAGTTTGTTGTGAAGGTCAAAGGAGATACTGGATGTGAAGTGGTTTGCAAAACCTATAGTACTATGTAAATGCCAGCTATTATTATTATGATGATGCTGAGAGGGGAAAGTGGGTAGGAAGATTCCACCCTCATCTTACTAAGTGAGTTTCTGATCATGGCAGGTAGAACTGAACTTGGCAAATACATTCATTCCTTTCACATTGAAGGGAAAAGCTCAATTTGTGCATTTTTGTAAAATTATTCTGCATATATAATCCAAGGTAGACAAAGCTGACATTTGAAGCCAATGTGACAAACTTATCCTGGATGACTTCAAAAGGGAAAATTCCACTAGGAAAAAAAGGATCTTCTCGTCCAGGGGTCAGCAAAACTGCAGCCTGAAGGCTGAATCTGGCCCACTGGCCACAAGCTAAGAATGATTTTTACTTTTAAACATAATAAAACTTAATTTTAAAATATAAAAACCATTCTTAGCTCATTGGTCACACAAAAACAGGTGAAAGGTCCTTGTCCCTCACTCTACCAATGCTAAGGGATATAGTTTCATGACAAATGTATCCTACATCACAGGGTAGCTAGGAGGAAAGTATTCGTAAACTTTAAAGTACTACATAACCAGTGACCCTAAAGACCACCTCCCCCTCAAAAAAAAAATCAAAAACTGTGATCCTGGGCAAGTGACTTAACTTCTCTGCACCTCAGTTTTCTCATCTGTTAAATGGTTACTGATGTTATAGGGTTGTGGTGAAGAAAACATTTTGTAAACCTTAGAGTGGCATATAAATAAGAGCTATTTTTATTATGACAACGAGGAAGAATCTTACCGATAGCACAGCTATAGACATAATTCAAACTGAAGTTAGGATAAACAGGAAATTACACAACTCAGTCCTTCCCCTAACTCTACGTAAGACATATCCCTTAATAAACTCAGAGAGTTTTACATTATGTTTTAATGAATAGCACTTCAGAGAGAAAATCACCCTGTATTCCAGCCTAGATGAGTCTAATATTGAAATTCTTTTTGTGAGTAACTTCAATCTTGTGAAATCTTTCAGTAATCTCTGAATCTTCCTACACCCCTTCTCTAAATTAAATATGTTTTCCTCTGATCTTATTAAAAAAAAAATCCAAAAGCACAAGTCAGCTTTGTGTTGATGCTGTTTGTTAGGAATCAGAGCTCAAAGCACGGAAAGGACCCCAGGACCATCAAGTCCAGGCCAGAGCTGAACCAGAGTCCCCTCTACCGCCCACGTGACGAGAGGCCGTCCACGCCAGCCAGTGGACTGTGGCCTACACCTCACGTCAGCGTGTATACTTACATTCAGGAAGCGACCCACGTTTCCTTCTTTAGTAGCATCCAACAAGTAAATGCTATTTTCATGAAGTTTCTTCATCGACTCTGACACAGCGATTTGGGTTTCAGAGAGTGACTCTTCATCACAAAGGATTTCTTGATTTTGCCTCTCCAGCATTCTTTCCTCTTGGGAGACTTGCTCCTGAACCTCACATTCCTTTATCCCACTCATATCACACACTGAGGCCGCCTGATCACACGTGTTTTCTACTAGACTTTCTTCTTTACAATGATGGTTATCCAGTAGTATACAGTTGGGCAACAGCTTGTCTTTGGAATTTTCACCAGGGCAGCTTGACTCCCCTAAGAGAAATGTCAGAACTTTTAAGGTTTGGCTGAAGAACAGCACTGGCATGAATACTGTAATCCTAAAACTGCACACATTCTTGGTTATGGATTCAAATTCATCTCCCTAGACAACTGCTTTTTTTTCTTCAAATGTGGAATTAGCTTCTGGCATGGATGGGCAGCACTCTTTAATAGCTGCAGCAATTCAATTTAATCTTTAAAACATTTAAGTGCCTACTATACGCTAGACATTGGTGGTACACAGACAAAAATGAAACATTCCCTGCCCTCGAGGGGGAGGGATACAACACATAGTTTTAGAAGCAGCTGTTTGCATGTAATGCTGCAGGCTTCCAAAGAGGCCCTGAGATAAGCACTGTGAGGCAGGAGAATGCTAACAGGGTGGCTGCTCATGGCAGCAACATCTGCACTCGTATGGGTTACGTGACTATTGCTCTTCCAATGCCTCAAGATGATGTACTGGTGATCCTGGGATCCTTGATACTAAGCCAAGAAAGTGTGAGTTCTGCTAGGTTCTACCAAGCCAGCAAAACCTCTAAGCACAGGCCAGCGGATGGATGGACTGTGTGTGCGTCATCTGAAGACCAAACTGATGAAGGTCAGAGAAACCACCCCCATTAGTCAGACAGCAACTAACTATTCTGGCACAGCAACTTGAAAGGACCATCTACTAAGGGCAAAGAGAGGCTGGCAGCAGTTTCAGTGGACATATCTATTATTAAGACTGATGAAGCCACATATTTTTATAGTATGTTTATTGTTTTGGGTCTCAGTTGGCAGATTAGTCACTGCTTGTGCCTTTTAAAGGAATACAAAAGTAGTAGTACGGATGCTGCCTCATCCACCAACCAAAGTAAACCTGTGCAATGTCAAAAGACCCATGAGGAGGCTTCCAGTGCATGTGGTGGACTCTCTATGTATATGTGTGGACGAGAATCACATAGGATGACAAGGTGTAGATGGGAGGGAGTGCCCACACTGATGAGATCATGGGTCCACTGAAGAAAAAGTTCTTGAGCAGCAGGGAAGCAGAAAAATTAAACATTCTTTTTAGGCAAAGGAGAAAATCTCCTTTGCAACTTAAATGGCATAAAGAGTATTATTAATTTTTCTCTTTTAAAACATCTCAATTTCTCTCTTTAAATTGATCCTTTTTCTTCAGTTATGGTTATGCTTTAATCACGTTGCTGCTGTCTGCTGTTCCTGAATGTATTAATATTTCAATCATGCACTGTCCATGAAGCTCAAGAGCATTCCAAAGAAAAAGTCCTGAAAATGTACAATATGAATGAACCTACCAGTGAAATAAGTTAAAAGTTAATTAATGGGCTTAGAAATAATATTTGCCTTTCTAGTACTTTCTCCTTCAACATGCTATAGCCTCAGAAGCTGTCCTACCTCCCAAACCAAAGCCCTTAGAAGATAAAGGGGTATAGCAATGACTATTCATTTTAGTAGTGGATTCTCAGGGAATCCTATAGGATGGTGATAACCAGTCTGATTCCTGTCATGAAAATCAGAGTTTTTCATGTGGCTCCATACATTAAACTTGATAGGAACTGATAAATATGGGAGCCAAGTACTTTTTTAATGAATGGTGCCTATCAGCTGTTGGCCCTCAAGTCCTTTCCAGTAATAGGTCTGTGACTCTATCATCTAGAGCTCTCTGGAGACAACGAGCAGGGTGTGGCAATGTTTTGGCCTGAGGCTAGCAAAAGGCTCAGGAGGGGCGCAGCTCTCTTAGGAGCACTGCTTACCCTCCAGAACCATGCTCCAATTCAACTATGGAACCAAAAGGGACTCTTCTATCCCAAGGTTTCCAGGCCCAGGAAAAGAGCTGGAAATGAGCTGCTTTTGCCTGACACTTTTGAAGGTTCCACTGTCGAATTTCTTCTAGCAATCCTGACACTGGAGGACCAGGTCCCATCAGGTGTCTGTAGCTACTAGATTAGTTGTAACTCCCAGGCTTGATAGCATGTTTTTTACAGTGTCTAAGAGCAATGAAAAAAAGGGACCGATGACTCAAAGTTAGATTAAAAACAGGTAAGAGATCAGGAGCAAAAGAACATCCTACTTTTCTTTTCGTTGGTATTGGGGGTTGGTTGGACTTCCATTGACTGAGCTTCATCCTCCTCTTCTGAGCTTATACTACACTCCAGGGTGACAATTCCCTTTAAAAAAAAAAAGAAAGAAAGAAAGAAAAAGGAAGGCTCATACATTTACTTTCCTGGGAGAGAGGCAATTAGCATTTAAAACTTTTCCAAGCGAATTTCAAGATTAGTCTTAACCAGCTTAGTTTTTCATTTCACCCCCAAGGTGGTATAGGGGGTAGAATAATTGCCTGACCACAGCCAGGAGATACATCAAAAAAATAGCCAAACCCCAGATTTCCTGCACAACCCTATGCTGGGTTCTGTTTTCCTGTACTGTCTGAGACAAGAGCTACTAATGACTGTGCAGATGCCAAGAGCCAGTACTATAATGCTTTTAAATAAAGAAAAGACTTCTGTCCACATTCGCAATATTCCAGTTACCCTCAGGGGAAAAGTTTTCCCCCTTAAATCACTAGTACAGCACATTTTTCTTTAGCAGCTGGGAACACCAGGGATGACCACTGCTGCTTGCTCCCCCTGCTCCTACTTTGAGGAGTCGAGTTAAAGGATCTGCCCGCTTCATTTAGACACCGTATGGGCAAATGCCACTTGACATTGTAATGACAACATATGTTTAAAGGAGAGAGCCTGAGACCGATAATATTCTGGAAGGTACATTTTTGTATATTTGGGCACTGCAGAAGTTCAAATAAAGTCAAGTCAATAAATATTATATTAAGTGACTGAAGTAACCCCTGCTGTCTATAAAGAATTTAAATCAAGAAGGGATTACATGATCTCTGTAGAGAGAAGGAAAAATCAAAATGCCAAGTGAGCTTCAATTCAATACAATAAGCACCTAATACATGCCAGGCACTGTGCTAGATGCAAAAGACACAAAGACCAAAACAAAATATTCCCTAAAACTCCCTTGCCTTCAAGGAGTTTAGATTGCACTGGGTGGGAGAGGGAACTAGACACTTACAATGGCAACAGTCAGGAAAGGCATTGTGGTGGTGGTGGTACCTGAGTTAAAGAGACCTTGAGGTTCCAAAGAGGCAGAGGCGAGGAGAGAGAGCATTCTCTACATGGGACACAACCTCTGTAAATGCCCAGAAGCAGGAGACAGAATCTCCTATATGGGGAAAGGTTGGGAGGCAAGCTTGACTAGAACAGAGAGAGCCTAAGGGGGAGTCACATGAAATTATTCTACACAGGTGGCTCCAGCCAGACTATAAAGGGCTTGAAATGCTAAAGAGAGGGTCCTGGATTTTATCTTAGAGGCCACAGGGAGCCATTAATACATCTTAAACAGGAGAGTGACATGATCAGATTTATGTTTTAGGTCTATCAATTTGGCAGCTGTGTGGAGGATGGGTTGAAAGAGACTGGACTGTGGGAGACTAATTAGGAAATAAGTATAATGGTGTAGTCAATGGGTGATGAAAACCTGAACTAGAGTGAAAGTTGTGTGAATGAAGATAAGAAAAAAGATGCACGATAGATAGATAGAACTGACAGGATGTGGCAACTGACTGGGGATGGGAGAAGGTCAAACATGACCCAGGTGGTGAGAACGTGGGTGGCTGAAAGGATGGTGGTACCTTTGATTGAAACAGGAAGAGGAGTGAATTGATGGTAAAATACTGAGTTCTGTGTTGAGTTTGAGATGCCTATGGGGCATCCAGGTGCACATTTCCAAGAGTCAGTCAATAAAGAAGCATTTATTGAGAGCCTACAACGCACTAGCCACTATGCTAAGCACTTGGGATATAAAGAAAGGCAAAAGAGAGTCCCTACGCTCTCTTTTTTTGGGGGGGGCTAGGCAATGGGTGACTTGCCCAGGGTTACACAGCTAGTAAGTATCAGGTGTCTGAGGTTGGATTTGAACTCAGGTCTTCCTGACTTTAGGATCTGTGTGCTAGCCACTGCACCATCTAGCTGCCCCCAAAGTCCCTGCTCTTCAGGAGCTCAGTCTAATGGAGAAGACAACACCCAAATAAGGACGTATGAAGAAAATATACATAGGATACTAGAATTAAGAAGGTTTACAGAAAATGGGATTTTAGCTGGGACTTGAAGGAGGCCTGGGAAACCGGGAGATGAGGAGGGAGAGCACTGAAGGCATAGGTGACAGGCAGTGAGAATGCCCCAAACCAAGAGATGGCATATCTTGTTTGGGGCACAGCAAGGAGGTCAGTATAACTGGATCAAAGATTACATGGAGGGATGGGAGGTAGGGGTGAGGGGGCTGTAACATGTAAGAAGACTAGAAAATTGGTAGTCAGGGAGGAGGAAAATGAGGAAAACAAAGTGTCACAAAATCCTAGAGAGAAAAGAATATCAAGGAGAAGGGTCATCAATAGTGTCAAAGGCTGAAGAGGGGTCAAGAGGACGAAGGACTGAGAAAAGGGCACTGAATTTATCAGTTAAGAGATCACTAGTAACTTTGGAGAGAGCAGTTTCAGTGGAGTGAAGTTGAAATTTCTTCCCAGAAATTCTCCCTTCTTCCACCTTGCCATGGGTCTCCCTAATTTTAGTCCCTCCCTTCTCCAATCCATCCTCCCACAGCTGCCAAGTATGATCATGTCAGTCTTGTACTTGAAAGTTTCAGTGGCTCCCTATTACCTCTAGGGTAAAATAAAACATCCTCAGCTTCTCCCAGAAAGCCCTGTAGTATGCAGCTCTCACCTGGCTTTCCAGACTTCATTCCCATTAGGTCACTTCACATACTATGTTCCCTTGACAGAGGCTGACTCCCAAACTCGGAATGGACTCCTGTTTCACAGCTACTTAGAATCCTTCACTTCCCTCAAGGCTCAGCTCAGGCGCCACCTCCTAAGTGAAGCCTTCCCTGCCCCCCCACCCCATGTTAAGTGCTCTCTCCCTCCTGACACTACTTTGCATTCATTTATTTGTATATACATATCCCTGTCTGTAGAACAGAAACTCCTTGAGGCCAGAGTCTCAGTCTTAGGCTTACTATTTGTCCTTAGGACCTAACAGATAGTGCTTTACACAGAACAGGCCTTCAACAAAATGCTTCTACTTGCTTTATGGTCCACCATCTCTTCTCAATGCCTTCTGGGCCTGTGCTGGAAAGACTTGTGGATGACCTGCAGTCTGCACACAGGGCAGGTTCAGTGGCACCTTTGCTCAGTCATATTCATCATCACCTCTGGGCTGCTATCTGCTTAAAGGAGTGGTTTCACTCTTTGATATGCTTCATGAGGGAGAGGTGGACAGGATACTGTGAGGTGGCATATCTGTACTATGAAATGTACCTCAAAGCCCATAAAACATCCCTCAGTGAGACCCCATCCAAGAGAACCACTACCTCTAATATCTATAATGGCCCTAATTTAAGGAACCTTTCTTCTTTTCCCTCCTTCCTTCACAATCACATTGTATACTCTGCACACACTGGGTACTAATAAACACGTCTGCATGTGTCTTGCTCTACTTCTTGTAACTATCTCATAATGAGAGAAATCCCACACACAAATAAAAAACATTTTATGAAATAGTAGGAATGGATAAGGAGAGTTAATGTGTCATTTCACAGAAGGGACAACTACGTTTTGATAGCCTGCTGCTACTTTTTGTAGTTCTTACCCTTTTTTTCCGAAAGTTTTGAAGAAGGGCTGTTTTAGTTTTAGGTCTTCTAGTGGCTGGTTGATTTTCAATTCTTAGATCACATTCATACTTCTCACCCCTGGGACAAAGGACACATCATTGTGACTACATACACAACACAAAATCTATACTCTGGCTCTCTCTCCTGGGCTGTGAAGTTTCTATAGGACAGAGGGTATTCGTTTCCAAAAATTTAACCAGTAAAGCAAATAATTACTCTTTCTCAGAAATGCATCATTACTACATAGTGTGTGTGTGTGTGTGTGTGTGTGTGTGTGTGTGTGTGTGTGTGTTTGTGTGTGTATATACCCTACTGGGGAAAAATACTACAGTCATACCTCAAAACATATAGAAAGAAGGAAAACTCAAAAAATGAAATCTGGGTTAGATGAATCAAAAAAATGAAAAATACTGAGCATCCAAGTGAAAGTAATCAAGACTATAACTCTACAACTGGTGCATCTGAGAGAAATCAAATGCCATTGGAAAGGGCTCTAGAAAACAATACCCTAAGTTTCTCAAAGCATTCTACTTTCAGATTTTCAAGGCAGGTGAAATTAAGATACAGGCTTTCGAGGTTGAGGGAAGATGTGAAAGTCTCTTTGATCAGCAATTAGATCCTTCATGTGGAAGGATAAGGTCAGAGCTTACTGAATAGATGGATTTGCATCACTGCTGAGCTCAATCAAGTACTCCTCAGTCTCTGTGTCTCCAGGAATTGCTCCTACTTCAATTTGGACAAACTCAATTTCAGGATCAGAATAAAGCAATTCTGTTCTCCTCTTTTTAGAAAGTGCTGGGGATTCGCTGTCATTAGTAGCAGTGTCCTCCTCCTCTTCTTCCTCTTTTCCATCAACAGAGCCAATTTCTTCCAGGCCAGCTCTGCTTAGTAATCTCCCTGAAAGAAATGACTGAGCTAAGAAAGGGACTCAGAAAATAAGTGCTTAGTACCTGAGGACAAGCCACTTGGTCTCACTGTGTAAAAATTAGAATAAAAGTATTAATCTGATTCACAAAACTGAGATTTGAACACAATAAAGTAAGTTCTGAAACATACTGGACTTCAACTCATGGATTCCTGGGTCCAAATCCCATCTCTAACACTTATTAGCTGTGGTAACAGGCAAGCCACAGCTTCCAGGCCTAAGAATACTTAAAAATGAGTTCCCTGTGATACTTGGCTCACATGGTTGTTGTAAGGTTCAAATGCTATGGTGTGTATAAAGTGCTTTGTAAACCTTAGAAAGTTATACAAACTTAAGTTATTAAAGTGATGATGATCATTAATATATTTTTACCTATAATACCGTAAGAGCGGATATGCAACTGTGGTTATATCAAAGGCTGGAAAAGTCTAGCCTTAAAAGCACAGACTTTAGAATCTTTTAGAATCCAAACTCTGACTAGAAATATACTCGTTTGAATTGGTAGTTCATTTTTTTGCCCCATGTTCTGATCCCCAAATAAAATCCTCCATGAAGATTTAAACACACACACACACACACACACACACACACACAGAGTTTTGTTTTTTGTTTTACAAGATTAAAAACTGATGGATACCACCTACAGAGGTGGCATGATGTCTACAAGGGCGTACAGTCGTTGGGCAGAAGAAATGCCATTTGAATCTAGGCCTTCTCACTCCAAATCCAGTGACCGTCCATTATATCTCAACATCTCTACACGATAGAAATTTACAAGTCATTTCTTTATTCCATATCTTCCAAGTGGCCACACCCTCTCACACTTAATCCAATTGTAGAAAAATAGAACAGCATCCAGAGATCCACAAAATGACCACAGTATCTAGACTAGAGCCTTGTACATAGCAGGCGTTGAAGAGGTAGATATGACTTAATTTGAAGCCTAAAAAAAGAAAAATTGAGGGAAAACTGAAGATTGAAAAGTGGAGTCCACTTTTCAGAACAAAGGGTCCAGTTAGTAAAGTATCTGCTGTCCTCTATCACTCTTTTTTTTGGGGGGAGGGACAAAAAAAAACCCCAAAAACAAAACAAAAAAAAAACTGATGGATGCCACATCATGGCTCTTAGCATGCTTTCCTGGCTGGTCACTAGGTCAGGAAAAAGGGTGAAGGTCCACTGCTTATGCTCTGCTCCACTAACACAGAAAATATCAGTAAAACTTCTGGGCCACCATTTAGCTTTTGGACAGCAGCTGAGGTTCTCTCCATCCAAGAACCCTTGAGAGGTAAAAGGCACAAATGCCCATGTGCTGGGAGTGAGGGAGGAGGGGGCAGAGGAATGGAAGGATGTAGAAGGACAAAGGTTGAGCCCTGTTGCTTTTAACTCTACTCAGGTTTGAACTCCTCTATTCTTCAAATGGGAATGGTTCATAAAATTTAGGGATCTTTAGAGATCTAGGTCATTTTTCTACAGTTATATAGCAAGTGGTAGAGTCAGAACTAGAACTCGTGTCCTGTGATGAAAACACCAGGGTTCTTTCCACAACAGCCTGCTATGCCATGCTTCACTTTCCCCAGAAACAGAGTGGAAAGCCTGGTCAGTGCTGCCAGACAACACAAAGAGGGGCCAACTTAATTTCACTGTTTTATGAGTTGCCTTCTCTCACTCCCAAATACTTCCTGGAATTGACAGTAACAAAGTCAGGAAGATATGGAAGCATACTGTACAGGTTCAAGAACCCTTTTCCGCTTCCCCTGCATCCTTTTCTTTAAGGTCAGAACCAGTATTTACAGCTGTTCTCTTCCCGTGCAGAATGCCTGAGATGTCCTCTAGTTACTCCTCCTCTCACCTTTAGTCATCAGGTTATAAAACCCTCAGAGCTTTCTTCTCTCTCCTCTTCAACACTGCTTCCTCCTTTATCAGCACAGTCTCAGTAAATAAAGCAATGTCTTTGAAAGCATCATCAATCATCAATCAATGACTGACTGCAGATTTCTTTCAACACAAGGCTTCATTTTACCTGAGTAAGTGCAAACGAATGTCCCTTTGTCAATGTCATCGAGGCAGCGGACTCCCCATCCTTTCTTCTCAGTTTTGAATACCTGAAGGCGCACCTGGAGACCCTGCTGGACAACTCTGTTCTGACATGTTCTCGGATCACATTTGCACAAGAGGCTGCATTCAAAAATTCTGCCGTTGGAAAACGTAACATAAGAAAATTAATCAGATACACCTAAATAAAACACTGATACACAGCTAAGAGAAAACATCCAGGTTGGGGGTGGGGGGAGAGGGAAAGCAAATACTGACATCAGCAGTAATTCTATTCTATCACTGACAAACAGATGCAGGAGAACTCTGAACACAGATTGCCTACCCTTTTACAGCTATGCTTCATTCAGACCGCAGGGGCCTAAGGAGGAGGAAGAGAGCTGGACTGCAATGAAAACTGACCACAGAGGGGACAGAAGAGGAAAGACGGGTAGAGACCAGGGCAAAAGATCAGGCTCAGAAACCAGAAGGTGTAAGGAGAAAAGAGAGAGAAGTCATGCTATGTCAAAACAGAAAAGGCATAGCAGAACTTTTTGTGGTAGAAAAGAACTAGCAACAAAATAGACAAATGAATTTCCGGCATATCATTGTGCTGTAAGAAATGACAAATATGACTGATACTGAGAAACTTGGAAAGACTTGTATGAACTGAAGAATGAAGGTGACAGCACCAGGAGAACAATTTATATGAGGATCACAGTAATGTCACAGAAAACAACTCTGAAAGACCTGTAGAACATTGGATCCCTGCAGTGAGTGACTCATCATGATGACAGAGGCCTAATGATAAAATATCCCACCCTGCCCCCATCCCCAAACCCGGCCATTTGGCAGTGATAACTGGATGTGGGTGCAGAATGAGACAGTTTTCAGGCACAATCAATGGTCAGATTTGCTTTGCGTGACTATACTTATTAGTTATAAGACAAGGCTTGCATTGAAAAAAAGAGAAGAGTAAGTACAGAATAAAATAACTTTAAAAAAGAAAGAAACGAGCATCAATAAAACATTTAAAAATATACAGAAAACTATAAAGTTCAGAAAGGGACATAAACGGCAATTTTATTACTATGTTTAATTTAATATGCACTTTAAAAATATTTAACAGAGGTAATGATTTCATATACAATCCTGTTTTTTATTCTTTGAATATTGAAATGCCCATGTTCATTAAACCCATAATAAAGGGCAGGGTCTGGACTTGTGATTCCATTGGCATAAGAAACCACCAAGTGAGGAAATTCAGGTCAGCAGCGCCTTTTCTGAAATTTATTGTTTTAAGAGTTGTCTTGAGCACCGCAGGTTTAAATGACTGGCTGAGGATCACATAGTATGTGTCAAAGGCAGGACCTGAATCCAAGTCTTCTTGGAATTGAGGCCAGCCCTACATCTATTATCACATACTATACCTCAAGTTCTTAATGAAAAAGAAAATTTACAGGTAAATAAGATAAAATAAACAGGGGAGAAGGCTAGGTACCTTACATGCCATTACAACTAGGGGAGCCATAAGAGGGCTGCCATGAGAATTCCAGACTTCTGTTTACTCTTGATCTCAGGTGATCCAGGTAGATTAAGGTCTCACTCCATTTGCTACATTTAAATTTGCAAATGCTAGTAGAAGATGACCATATTCCCAAAATTTAGATCTTGTAAATTCTCTGTATAAATTTACTAATGAACAAAGAACTTGTAGGTGTGGGCAACTCTTGTAGTACAGCAAAATTACTAAGTGCCCACTCTAAAGAATGCACTATTAGGTGCTGGCAAGAATGCCAAAGGTGAAGGAGCTTATAAAATGCAGTAGAGGGATAGAAGCCATGTACAAATAAGTAAAATGCAAATTAGCATAGGCTAAATACAGAAAAGAACTAGAAGGCATAAGATCAGAAAAAGGAGAAATCATTTTTAGTTGAAGGAATAGGGAAGGTAGCATCTGGGAAGGGTCTTGGAGGATGGGCACAACGGCGACAAGCACGACGAGTGCTACTGAGGCTGAGTCTCTGACGTCCACTTCAAGGATAAACTTACTGCTTACTTTTTAGTTTCGTTTGTTTTTTTAAAGCAGCTGTGTTTTGTACTATTGTCATCGATGGGTGAGATCTGTTGTACCTCTGAGAATGATCAAGCACTAGCACCTTATTAAGGGCTCACTACTACCAGGCACTCGGGATACAGAGACTGAGATGAAAGAGTCTCTGCTCTCCAGAAGATTACAATGTGGACACATAAGCATGTATCAAAATACAAAGCATACGCCTGAAAAGACAAACCACATTGGAGTATAACGAGAAAGAGGAAACCCCTCACCAGCTACAATCCCTTGCAAAGAAAACATGAACACGTCTTACCCGTTGGGTACTGGCTGCTGCAGTCTTTTATAGCTATAGCCATAAGTGGGTTTAACACTTGACCATGCAGAACTCTCATCATAGCCCTTTGCTGTCAGCTGGAGGCATGCACATTTTTCTCTAAAAGTCGGGTGATAAGTGAAGTAAAAATACATAAGCACAAAGTCAGCAAGTGGAAAATGACAGCAGTGAATTGGGGAGGGGAGAGGAGGAACACACAGTAAAGGATACAAGAAGAGTTTGCATGTTCATTTGGGGCCATTACAGCACAACCCATTCCCCAAAGCCCAGGGTCCTGGTAAAAAGGGAAGGACGTGATTCCAATTCATGTGTATCATTAAGACTTTATTCTGCTTCTACTCCTTCACTTTGGCAGCTTAAGTTTCCTGAAATTTTCAAATATGTTCTAACCATCCTCTCTTGAACAGGAAAGGTCTGGAATCTCTCTTGTGCTTTTTGATATCAAAGCTTCCACTTGCCAGGATGGAGGTGTTACTTCCTCAAGAGATTAGGTACCTCTTATCAAATCTAAGCATGATACACAACTACTAGAAAAACAAAGTAGTACTATACCAACCCTTTCTGAACTTCCATAAATTTTCCTGATGAAAGTTCCATGCTACTCAAAACTGTTACCTACTACCCCTTTGAACCTATATTCCCTATAGATTAGGCCATTATCTTCTCTAAGAGCCTAAATGAAAATATGGCTCAGATCTCTTGGCCCTTTGAGTCCATATGTTTGTGCTGGAAAAATAAGATTTTTGTACATGCCTGCAAGTATCTTCACTAGCACATGGAAAGACTGGGCAAACAACAGCTTGGCATCCAGCCATCAAAATCTCTTTTTCCTTACTTAAGTGGCTACGCAAGGTTTGATTATCAGGCAATCAAAAAATTATAATCAGTAGAGAAATGTTTGTGTATATGAGGGTAGGCAGATATTCTCAAGAGTATCAGATAGGAAATCAGACAGATTCTAGTTCCAAATTTGCCAATAACTTATTCAGTGACTTTTAGCAAGGTAATTTAAGCTCTTTGGACCTTGGTTTCTTCATTTGTAAAATGAGGAATCACAGAACTACAGTCTTCTAGTCCAATCTCTACCCAAAGACCAAATCCTATTTAAACTATCCCTGACAAATGGTAATCCAGCCTCCAATTACACACCTACAACAACAAATAGACTCATTCTTCCTCGAGGCATCTTATTCTAGTTTTAGACAGCTACAACTGTTAATAAATTTTTCCTTATGTTTAGCTCAAATACATTTTCCTATAATTTTGATTCACTGGTCTTAGTTCTGCCCTTCAGGGTAAAGCAGAACAAGTCTAATCCCTTTTCCACAGGACAACCTTCACAAGACTAGAAGACAGCTGACAGCTCTTCTTCTTCCCCCTTACTCTCTTATCTTCTCCACATTAAACCTCCCCAGTTCTCTCTGCTGATCCTTCTATGGTATGGTTTCAAGTCCCTTCATCATTCAGGTTCTTTTCTTTCCCTTGATATACTCTAGCTTGTCAATGTACTTTCTAAAACACGGTGCCCAGGATTGGAGGCAACACTGAAGAATGGTCTAACATGAGAAGAATTCTCCTTTGCTCTGGAGACCATGCTTCTGTTAACCTAAAACTGCATTAACTCTTTTAGCTACTACATGATAATGCTGACCCATACTGAGTCTGTAGCTCACAAATTCCTAGGGTTTTTTCCACATGAATCAGGCAATTAAGTGATATAGTGGAGAGAGAGTGCTAGATTGAGAGCACAAAAATCTGAACTCAGGTCCTGCCTCCTGTTCTAAGTCTATAATCCTATGAGTTTGTAGCCATGTTTCCCCTATCTTGTACAGTTGATTTAAAAAAAAACCCAAAGTACAAGATTTTAAATTTAGTTTTTATGAAAGTTCATCTTATTAGCTAATCATTCAGTCATGCCGAAGCACTAAGGTACAGTAGAAAAGGCAGGAGAATCAGAGACCAAATATCTGGGTTCAAGTTCTATTCCTATCACATAGTAGACATGACACAAAGAAAGTCATTTAATCTCCTTGACACTCAGATTATTTATCTGTTAAAAACTGGGCAGTGATTATTATATTACATATCTGAAAGGATCATTATGAGGAAAGCATATTAAATTAAATTATATGTAAACAGTATCTATTAAAAGTTATTTGGATCATATTTCTATCATCCAAGCTATAAACTATCCCTCCCAGCTTCAAGGTATGCATAAATTTAATAAGCAAACTATGTATGCCCTCACTGAAGGCACTGACAAAAACATCCAACAGAACAGGGTCAAGCACGGTCAGCCCCCTGCCACACGATTCAATGCTTACCTCTCCCTCTCCACAATAGTATCCATCAGCATTCTTTGGGTCTGGTCAGTCACAACTAGGTCCCTAATTGTAGTCCACATCTCTTCATCATGTCCACAAGGACATCATGAGAGTTTTAACTAAATGTGTTGCTGAAATCAAAGTATATTATGTCCATGATATTCTTTTAATCCACTAGCCTAGCAAACACAGATGAGATTGGACTAGAAAATCTCTAGCTAAAAGGTCACTCCACCTTAAGGTTATATTGCTGACATATCTCTAAACAGGTAAGAACAGTTTATATATCTACTGACAATATATTTTCTTTGTTCTACATAAGCATTTGCACCTTTGTTTAAACATTTTGTGCCACTATTAAAACTAAAGCACTATTAAATGCCAACATATTTCCACATAACTTATATTTCAAAGTGAGGATCAGGGATCTTCAGCACTTTGTTGTACTGACGCCTATATAAGGCAAAGACACTTAGTTAAACTTACTAGTAATCATCCTTTCCAACAGAAGTAGAAAAAACACTTCAATTCATGAACTTCCCAATTATTCCCCCCTGCTGTGGACATTAACATCGTTAGGCTTAGTGTAGGTTACAGATAATGTCCAAAATATGCTAATATTTGACATCACTCTGAATGATTATATAATTGTTGAGAATATTAGTTCTAACCTTTGAGTAAAACTATAAGATAATTAGATCAAATTCATGAGCCATATATAACAATGTTATATATAGTGGCAGATTCACACATAATATTATTCTGTTCCTGTGATCAGAAGCTTAAGAGCTTCATGTCAATAGTACACATTTCCCATGTAAAAACAAATGGACAAAAAAACCCTAACAAAATGGACAAATCAACCATTTAAAAATGCTTCGTAAATATTGAATAATTTGTGATACTAAATAAAGGGAAATCCCACTAAAATTTAGTCAAATTGAAGCACATCTTTGGATGAGACAGTTGGAAACCACGGCACTATTTGGTTAACAAGGTTCTTCCCCTTTATCAATCAACAGAGGGCATCTTTGCATCTCAGGCCATCCAACAGGCCATGTGGCTCCCCAGTAGGAACTCGCCTGGGAAAAGGCCTTTGGGATCCTGATTAAAATGCCTATTTTTCTACTCACATATCCATGCAGCCTTTTGAGCAGTCACATGAATTACTAAACATGCCAGAGAAATTGTTGAGGTAGTAGGCACGTGGCCACGTCCGCCTCCGGTACTTGAAGTGTGGCAGTCTTCTGTTATCAATTTCGTTACAGAAGGTAACAGGCACAGATTCGGTTCCGTGGCTAATATCAGAGTCAGAAACAAAAACTTCTTTCTTCCGCATATTCCTGTTCAACTGCACATAGGTATTAAAAGAAAAATGATGTAAAAATAAAAAGCTACACTCTGTCTCAAGCAGGTAACGGTGGACTTCCTTAAAGTTCCTCAAACTCCTTCCACAAGGGGTTTTATAATTCACATGGAATGCAGCACAGTTAGAGTTTGTCTTTGCATGTCGCCTTTGGAAACTACTCAAGATGGGGATCATAAGTGGGTTTTCCACTTTGGAGGTGAGAGGTATGTTGGACAGACATGTATCACAGCAGATATGATTCTCATAAGACAGATGCAAAGATAGTATTTTCTCTTCATAATTTGAAACTTCATTTTCCAAAGTTAGAACTGCTATATCTTCTACGGTTCTGTTAAAAACGACAGAAGAATTGTCAGTGACACAAATTTGTAGGGATATACCTTTAAAAAGAAAACATACATCATAGTGGTAGCTGGTGATCTATCATACTCTGCCACTGTCACCACAAACCTAAGTTAGAACCTGAAATAACCATATTTTGTTGCATTCTGGTCCCATATAGTTGTTCCTAACTTCAGATTATAAATCTCCAGCAGTCCAGAACCATACCTGGAATTTCTGAGTTCATGACGATGCATTAAGTTTATTATAGCTGCTCATCAAAGTCCCGGCTGAGGCAATGTCTATGAGCTCACAGAACATTATTGATTCAGTGAAAAATAGTCAGACTAGCTGTTTTTCATTAGTATTCCAGTTGACTAGATTTTTCCATTTTTCTCTTCAGTTATTACCACTACTAATAGGTTTAATAGCATATTAAGGTTTTTCAAAGAGTTTCATATCAATTATTCCTTGTAACAGTCCTGTGAGGTTACTATTATCACTCCCATTTTACAGCTGAGAAAGCTGAGGCTTAGCAAGGTTAAATGGCTCACTAAGTGATCACAGAGTTAGTCTAAGGCAAAATTCGAACCTAGGCCTTCCTGATTCTAAGCCCACTATTATCTACTACACCATCTTGTCTATCTATTGTTGGAATACTGCAGACCCAGCTGAAGATGGTGAAAGGGCAATAAGAAAGGAATGAACACAATAGTTCCAAATAAGGAATGGGACTGGATCTTAAAGCCCTATATTATCATAAAAGCCTATAGCTTTTCTTATGTTTTTAGTTCTGTCTCCATTCATTATAAGACACCTAATATTGTAATTCTGCAAGCATTACAGATTAGGGACTTCCAGGAAAATGGCAGACTAGATCTAGGGAACCAGCTCACTTCTTCCTGCCTCCAACCTTTAGGAACACTAAAGAGACACAGAGAGGGGGCAGCTAAGTGGCGCAGTGGATAGAGCACCGGCCCTGGATTTAGGAGGACCTGAGTTCAAATCTGGCCTCAGACACATAACACTTAGTAGCTGTGTGACCCCGGGCAAGTCACTTAACTCCACTGCCTAGCCAAAAAGAGAGAGAGACAGACAGACAGACACAGAGAGAGGCACACTGAAAGACACATGGACAAAATGCCCAGGCACAAGAGTGAAGACACTCAAACAAAACCAAAACTCATGATGAAAGCTCAGAGATGGCACAGTAGCTGTTTTTACTACTGCTGTAACTACTCCCAGCAGTGCTTCTCCAGGAAGGAATGCAGACGGCTGGAAGAGCACAGAGACAGTCAGAGATGTTGCTGTTTGCTCTTGGAGGAACCCTGGCAAGGCAAAGGCACCTGACCTGCCTCTGCAGCTGCTGCTCCCAAGGCAGGCCCTCCACCAGCAAAATCTCTAAGGCCTCGGAGTGGAGAGAGACCTCTGTGGCATTTGACACGGTCCATCCCCTTCTGCTCCTAGATACTTTCTCCTCCTGGTTATTCTGGCATGGCTCTCTCCTGGTTCTTCTTCTGTCTCCTGCATGCAGAGGCGACTAGGCTAGGTTAGAAGATGACCTCTCAATTCTCTTCCTTATGAAGAATTCTATGATTCTCATTTCATCAAACAGAAGGAGCTAAGGCACAGGAAGCTTCTCATCCTGTGGCTACTCTCTATTCAGAGGAAATAAAGCACTGGGTGAAATTGCTTTCATAATCTACTTAAATGTTTGGTTAAATAATTAGAAAACCTTGGGGTTTTCTTAGAAATTATTTTGATAGCTTCATATTTCTTTTCAAATAAAAGCTGAGCTATTTGAATGCTTATTCTATATTTTTAAAATAAAACATACTTAAATACACAAAACTGACCCTCACAAACCTATGTTGAGAATTTTAATAATTTCAATATTCAGATTCATTATTCAAAAGCTTTCCTTCTTTTCCTGAAAGAATGCAAGAACGTGTGTTCTATTGCCAAAATGCTATTTAGAAAAGAATCTTGACTGAGTACCAGAGCTTAGGCTCCCATGCTGCCTGACTCTGGACCTACGACCTGAGCCAGTCCCGCCCTGCACTCTCATCTTCTTACCTAAGGAATTCTCACTAATACCGTGGGCAGCAATAGGAAGAAGCAGTCAAAGGGCTTAGCTGCCTGAAGTGACTTCCTGGCCCTGCCCAGAGGCTACCAATGTTCTTAAGCCCTTCTGGCCTCTCTTCTATAATCTCATTTCATAAGAAAGGACACAGGAAAAAATGATTTCTCAACCAAAACTCAGAGGTGGCCATTTTAACACTTTTCATTGTGCCATTAAAGTAAATATAAAAATCATAAACTAAGAGATATTATGCTTAAGGATACAGAAATTGGAATAACCTTTTACCAGAATGAAGTGACTAGTACCTGCCATATGTAATGTTCCAGTGTTTTCTTTTAAAGCCTCTGTTGGCAAAAAAAAAGAATCTATTATATGTGAAATCAATCCTAATTTAAATTTATAACAAAATTTCTTTTTTGAGACATAAAAAATTCATTAATTATATAAATTGATTTATATACATACAAAATCAAGGAGTCTCCCGAATTGGAGTCTTCGTGCGATATTGGAGGTAAAACACTTGACTTGCTTTCTTGCTCACTTTCTCTGTCAGTTATATCATCATCTATGTAAAGAATTTAAATATGAATAAAAAACATGCCAACATAAGAAACATTTCACTGTAATGACTACTGAGTATCCTGAGATGTGCAACCCAAGAAAGACTTAAAGATTAGGCCCAAAAAACCTAACCACCAGACAGGAAAGATACACAGTGGAAAAAATTTGATATAGACTTAAATTTGCCTTCACGCTTAATTTCATCCCACCTATACTATCGAACAAATACTGGGGCTAAGTATATATCCCATTCATTCTCACAGTTATAAAATCACAACATAAATTAATTGCTGCAGCCATAACATCATAAAAGGCCACATCATGGAATGATGTTTTTGGAATGTCTACATTGCTCATTGTGTATCTTCCTCTCTCCTAAAATGTGTTTATCTTTTATGTATACACCCCTGTACTTCCTTATGTCTGCTCTTTTCTTTTTCTTTATCTTTCCCCTTGCATCTGTCTTCATTTTCTACTCATGTTCATTATCTATTGCATTTATTATTTATAAATTCTATGTTAATTTTGAAAAGGGATGTGTTATATTTCATAGTATCACACCATTTAATTAATGGAAGAAATCTTATTCTATTCCTTTGTTTTATAGAAGGAATTTAATTCTTTTTTATGTGTGTGGATTTGATTTGATTTTGATATCCTCAACCCCAATTTATATAATTGTTACATTGATCCTCTGGTATAGATTAATAATACAGAAAGGTCAAGTAGATGAAGAAATACTTTTATATATATATATATATACACACACATGTACATGTCTATATCCATTACACCATGCTGTCTCATATACATACATGTATGAAGCAACATAGTATAGTGGACAGAGAAGTGGCCTTGAAGTCAGGAAGACCTGGCATCAGCTCTGCCTATGACATATCTTGGCTGTGTGACCCTAGATAAATCACTTAACCTCGCAGTGACCCAGGCAACAATCTTATATTTTAAGTTGATGAGCAGGTGCCAATGTATATTGGTAGAGGCGGTTTCTTATATCAATGAAGTCATAGATCTGGTCATATCCCCCTCCAGTTGTATGTGTGTGTGTATGTGTATGTGCATACAAAAAAATGCAAATAATGCTTTAAGGTTTACAAAGCACTTAAACATATATCATTTCATTTGATCCTCACAGTAACTCTGTGAGATGGGTACTACAGATATTGTCCTTACTTTACAGATGAGAAAACTGAGGCTCACAGAAGTTAACATCATTTGCTCATGGCCCCATGACTAGTAAGTCCTGGGGCCAGGGCTCAAAATCAGGTCTCTTCTGACTCCACCGCCAGCATTCCTTCCTCTACACCAGATTGCCTTTCCAGTAATCCTGTGAGCAAAGAAAGTGCTTTGTAAACCTAAAAAGCCCTATATCAGTTATAATTATTATGATCAAAATTATAAACAAAGTTAGAGTATAGGAATCTCACATGGCACAAAAAATCTGATTAATTAAGCAGAAGAAAATTAATTTTAAAATATGAGAACTGCAGAGGTACTAGAAAATAATTAAAACAGCCAGAATCCCATATCTGTAAATAAGAACATATCTTTTTTCCATATTCATTTTTCTACAGGACACATGAAAATGTATTTTTAATACATCAGGGTAAAACAAGATTTGCAGATAAGTTGTCAGAAATGGAAATAATTTTAAACCTTCTGGCTTTTCAGTTAACAATTAAATGGGATGGGGGAGGGCGCAATGCTTTCTTTTAAAAAATATAGTCTTTTAGTGAAGTGCATAGGTTATATTTATGTAATTATAGTTGTATCTTAAGGAGTAATCAGTGCCTTAGGCCCAGCTCAGGGAACTCTTGAGTTCTATTCCTGGCTTTCAGATGACTTATTATAGTCTCAAGGTCATAACAAGTCATTAGTCCCTCTGAGCCTCAAAAAAACCCCCAATATTTACTAATGGAGAAATAAATCAGGAAAGATTAGAATTTATTTGTAAAAGGTTTTTTTTTAAACTAGAAAATATATATGCCTCTTTGATAGACAACAAGGATTTAATGACATACTTGCATTTAATTTAAAAAGTAAATATTAATATTTTCATCTTTTAAGAAAAGTTGTACAATTTATGTTTTAAAGAAACAAAACTGCTCTTTCCATCAGTGAAGTTGTACCCACCTCTCCTTGTCTCCTACACTTCAGAGTCAGTGTCTGTCTGGCGGTATAAAAAACCAGCCACTCTCCATTAAGGTTATGGATGGTACTTGATCACAGCAGCTTGCACAAAACATTACTATGAAAGGTAGTGGCCACTGGAACCTAACTTCAGGGTATACTATGGTTGGGAATGCACTTTAATTTCTCTGGCTAAACTAGGGTTTGTAGTCATCTATACTTTATAAGGCAAAATATAATTTATAAGGCAAATTATAAGGACTTAATGGTCAAAAAAGTGTCTTTTTAAAAGTTCAGTAAAGCTTGACCATGTATTCATAACACTTTGAAAAAAGAGTTATGGGGGCAAGTAGATGGCGCAGTGGATGGAGCACCTGCCCTGAAGTCAGGAGGACCTGAGTTCAAATTCAGCTTCAGACCAAACCCTTGACACTTACTAGCTGTGTGACCCTGGGCAAGTCAATTAACCCCAATTGCCCCCCCCAAAAGAATTACAAAGGAAAATATCGTTTTTGTCTGTTTCTTTCCTGTTTCCCCTAAGTGTATTCCAGGGCAGAAAAAATGTCATTTGTCTATATAATCCAAAGTCTTGCACAATCCCTTGCAGATGGTTGGTGCTAAATAAGTGTTGGTTGAATTGAACTGAATTTAAAATGTCTGGAATTTTGATGACAATTTGCAGTTTTAATTAAAATCTGTTCAACGTTTGCATTTCCTTTACCTCTGTTAACCCTTGAGCAAATTTACAATGGAAGAAAAAACTTTATGGATAATTATTTTGTCATACAGAGCTCTCATATCATCTCTTCTCTAGAATCACTTTAATATAGGCCAAGTCCGTAAGAAGTCAAGTTAGCACCTATCAGATTGGCTAACATGATAAAACAGGAAAATGTTTTAAAAAGTAAATGGAGAAGATGTGGGAAAATTGGAATACTGATGCACTGTTGGTGGAGTTGTGAACTGATTCAACCAATCTGGAGAGCAATTTGGAACTATGCCCAAAGGGCAATCAAACTGTGCATACCCTTTGATCCAGCAATACCACTAGCAGAGATCATACAAATGGGAATCCCAAAGAAATCATAAAAATGGGGAAAAGACCCATATGTACAAAAATATTTATAGCAGCTCTTTTTGTGGTGGCAAAGAACTGGAAATTAAGGGGATGCCCATCAACTGGGGAATGGCTGAACAAGTTGTGATATATGACTACAATGGAATACCATTGTGCTATAAGAAATGATGAGCAGGCAGACTTCAAAAAACCTGGCAGGACTTATATGAACTGATGCTGAGTGAAGTGAGCAGAACCAGGAGAACACTGTACACAAATAGCCACACTGTGTGATGACTGACTGTGACAGACTTAGCCCTTTTCAGCAATCAAGGATCTAAGACAACTCCAGAAGACTCATGATGGAAAATGCTATCCATATCCAGAGAAAGAACTATGGAGTTTGAATGCAGACTGAAGCATACTATTTGCTCTCTCTTTTTTTTTGGTTTTGTTTCTTCTCCCTTGTGGTTCCTCTCACTTGTTCTAATTCTTCTTTACAACATGACTAATGTGAAAATATTCAATAAGAATGTATATGTAGAGGTTATATCAGATTACACGCTGTCTTGGGGAGGAGGGGGCGGAGTGAGGTGGAGAAAACTTAAAACTCAAAAGCTTACGGAAGTGAATGTTGAAAACTAAAAATAAATTAATTTATAAATTAAAAAAAAAGAAGTCAAGTTAGCAAGAGTTATGAGGAATGAGACGTTAATATAACCTTGAAAACCACCACACACACACACACACACACACACACACATCAACTACCGAAAAAACATAGGGAAGGGAGATGGTAGCACCATGGGACCCATAAGCCTACAGGGACAATTATGTCATCCTGTTAAAAAAGGGTATTGTATATTATTATTGTATTTTGGGGGGAAGGTAGAGGATAGGACAGTTCCTGGTGGGAAGTGAATCTGGGGGAATCTTCATTTCATAAAGCAAATCATGATTTCTGTGAACTTAGTAAAGTGGATCTACTATCGTATCTCTTGTTGTCTTTAGTTAACATGCCACATTAAGGTTGGCTGGCCTGCCATGTGCTGAGGAAATACCTAAATCATATAAGAGTGGGTGTTAAATTCAAATGTACATACCCTTTATCAATAGTAAAGTGTTACTTGTAACTGCTTCATTCACCAGGGTCATGGCTTGGATATATTCTGTGATGAAAAAAAGAGAAGAGGGTAGAGGCATGGGGCAGGAATGTGAAGGGCTGTTCAGTTCTTTAGAAACAACAAATGGTAAAAGCATCAAGAGAACCCCTAATTCATAAAACAAAACAATCAGTTCAGGATGGAACTAAGTTTCAGAACAGTGAAAGAATGCTGATGTTGGGGCCAAACCTAGACAGTGTTAAAGATAATCTGTACACTGGATACACGCACTGACTATGCAAACATAATATAAGCTTTTCTTCCAAAAGGCCACCAGGTAAGGTTGTTTTAAATGACAATGTAATGATAAAAGCCCAGTAGTTTCAAGAGTAAGTACTTTGTCCTCATAGCCCCAAATGCCCATATCATGTTAAAAGTGAATGGGCCACTAAAGCAAAAATGACAAACACAACAAATTACTTTGTTTTTCTCCAATGGCACTAGGGATAGTTTCATTACAACTGGAACATGAATAGGGCACACTGGGCAGTCAGCTAATTCAGCTTTTTCATCCAACTGTTCTTGAACTCAAACTCCTCCGTCATACCTTGATTTGTTGCTGAGCCATCTTTGATCTTCTGTTTGAGTGACAACAGTACATTCTGCACATGCTCAAATATCAAGTCCACTTTTCCATCCTCTTCTAGCTCCCTCCAAAAAGCTTTTGCATTACCTGGAATACAAATATTATGTTCAAACAGAAAGGAGATGTTGGGATAGGGGGTGGGAATCAGAGATCTTCCTACAAAGTTTAGATGAAGAAATAAGCTCCATTTTTAGAATACATGCCAGTATCAGGGAGGTCAATGTTTCTCCACTGTTACATGAAGAAAAGCAAAAAACTAATAAAAGAAATAACTTAATTTTTAAAAACTATTAGCACAAACAAATCAGTCTTCTTCAAGTTCTTTTCTTCTCTCTCTATACTTATGCCTTTAGAGATCTAATCCAGTCCCATGGTTTTATTTATTATCTCTATGGAGATTCCATTAAATACAACACATATTTATTAGGTGCCTATTATGTGCTATGCACTAGGGACAGAAGAATAAAACTAAGATATATTCACCATTCAAGAAGCATCATGAAGACTTAAAAATCCATATATTTGCTCTTCACATTTTCCTTGAGATCCAGTCCCACACTTCCAGCTACCTGCTAACACCTTAAATTTAACATATCCAAAACTGACATTATCGATCATTTCTTAAAACAAAACTATAATTTCACCCCAAGTTCCCTATTTCTGTTGATCCTCCTCCTCTTTCTAGTCATCCAAGCTCAAGGAGGAGAGTTACTTTGGACTCTTCCTTCTTCTATCCATTCAGCTACCAAGTTTAGTAAATTCTACCTCCACATGATCTCTTGTACCCCTCCTCTCCTCTTCTATCCCATTCTAAGTCCCGGCTGTCACTGTTTTTTAAGTAGATCATCATCAAAATTTATAGAGTTCTTTAAGATTTTGCAAAACACTGTCTAAGAATTATCTCATTAGATCCTAGTAATAAACCTGTAAGGTAGGTACTATTATTACAGAACAGGAAACAGAGGCTGGAATATGTCAAGTAGTTTGCCTAAGGTAACACAGCCAGTTGTATCTGACTCCAGGTTCAACGCTACTACACCAACCTGTTAATTGATCTTCTGTCTTTATATCTCTCTCCCCTTCAGCTGAACTTTCACAAACCTGCTAAAATGATCTTTCTACTCCCCTTCACTAACTCAAGATTCCAGTCAAGCTGAACTATTAACTGTTCCCTGAGCTCATCTTGTCTTCTTGAGCCTCCACACCGAATGCACAACCTCCTTACCTCAGAATCCTTTCCTTCTCTTCAAGGCTCAGTTCAAATGCATTCCACTTTCCAATGTGAAGCTTTGCCTGAATACTCCTCCCTCAGCTGCACTCTGTCCTTACTCAAATCACTTTGTGTTTACTTATTTGTAAATACAAATACACCTGATATTCCCTCTACTATAATGTAAACTCCTCGTGGACAAGGAATTTTTCTTTTTGTCTTTTTATCACTTGACCCAGTGAGGGATTTAACAGATTGAAGGGAACTGAATTAACTTTAATAGCACTGCAAAGACTGCTATTGTTACTACATGCATATCCAGGGAAGGATAATAAATAAAGAAGTCCTTTTTGAAGTTTTCTGATATGAAGAGCTAGCTACTCCTTCCTTCATATCTTCTGTACTATGAATTAGGGCAGCCTAAGCAATAAAGAGGATATACTGCCACTGTTTCTGTGCCTAGAAGGTCTAGGAAAGAGCTCAGGGTGAAGAGTAAAAAGAATTCTCACAGGGAGAGGTGGACTGCCTCTGTTCTTAACTGAAGTCAAGCCTGCCTCAGTAATCTGATTTTCCAATACAAGATCTCTTGCTAACCTTCAAAAAGTGTACTGCTCTTCCATACTGGGTAATGCTTACTGCACTACAGAAGAATTATATTCTTCAAACACATAACCAACAGAATGTAGCAATTACTGAGAAAGCTAGCATTTCATCCAATTCATAGAATGTAACCTCTTTGGTCTTGTCTTCATATCCCAAGCACCTAGCAGTATGGCCCAATAAATGTTTGCTGAATTGCTTTTATTAAATTCACTATCTTGGCCAAATATTTCCAAAAGTCCTATTGTTCAAGCTTTTCCTATGCTGTGTCAAATGATTAATCTGACCCTTATTTTATTTCTAACCCTTCCTATTTTATTTCAACTAGTATTATTTAGTTTAGTGTGATTCCACAGGGATAGCAATTATCTGTTATACTTGTATATTAATATATAGTTAGTTAATATTAATACATATCTTACATATCTTACATTTAGAGATAATTAGGTAAGATTAGATAGATTCTTTCTTACATTAGGTCCCAAAATTTTAAACTACAAGTTTTAAGTTCACTTAACCCCTTTCCCCCTAATAATAGTGACCAAGCCCAGTGTGGTGAAGATAACCTAATGACATGGAAAATCTCTCAGCTATTTTTGGTGTTCCTCTCCGCCTTTCATAGTCTCTCCCTACCCCTATGCCCATCTTCTGGCCCTGGCCAGACTGGACTGTAGGTTCTCCTGAAGGGTAAAGGTATAAGTCTGTCAACCAATGAGATCCTGTATTTTACTCTGTGTCATCTGTACCATCCGGGTATCAAGCACTATAAAACCAAGGCCCTGGAGAAGGAGGGCCTCTCAGATTGTGAGAAAGATCTGAGGTCCCAATCATTAGAGTGGACCATGTCCCTTGGTTACTGGCTCAGAACTCTGCCTCAGCAATTTTTATTGCAAATTGGACATTTTTTGCAGCCCATAATGCAAAGTCTCTTCTTCCAGCAGATGTACAAATAGAATGAAGTACCTCCTGGCCCTAAAGGGGAAAGTCATATCAAGCATACTGCTGTAGCCCTATAGAATTAGGAAGGGATCTCTATACAAAAAGGCCGAACAGCTTCTTAACAACTTGGTTCTAGACAAAATTGTGAACAGATCATTATAATTATAGATGTCTCCTATTTTCTGGACCTCCCTCTTGAGGACTCCTTGCCTTGCTCCTAATCATACATATGAACACCTGGTACCCTCTTATAGCCAATCCTAGGATTTAAATTAGTTCACATTTTGTATGGCTTATTAATGTTATAATTCTTATAATAGGGATGGCTCAATTTTAGGGAAATTGTAAACATAACAGATCACACTAATGACAAAACAATAAATTGATTACATCAATAAATGTAGAAAAAAGCTTTTGATAAAATACAGCACTCATATGTGTTAAAACACTGAAAAGTATTAAAAATAGAGACCATTTCTTGATATGACTAACAGTATCTATGTAAAATCAAGAACTAGAATTTTTTGTAACAAAGGTACTAGAAGTTTCCGATAAAATTACAAAGGACAAAGCAATGATGCCTGTGGTTGTTGCTATCACTTGATATAGTTCTAACAAATGCTAATTATGGCAATGACAAGAAAATGAGAGAATGTGCATATATAAAAAGGAGTTGAAATTTTCTCTATACGATGGTTCCTTCCACAAAGTCTTACTCCAATGCCTCATGGTGGCATGGTGACCCTAAGTTCTCAAAGGCAATGCTAGCACTGCATAAGTTCCAGCAGGTTCTATCATGATGGAAAAAACCTTCAATTCTGGCCTGATAATAGAATAACTCTATTTTCCAAGGGCTAGTCTAGCTAATCATAGTGAAGCACATCACCTGTAGACTGGCCAGCTAATGGTGAATTTTTTGGCCACAGCAATCATGTAACAAAGAAAAATAAAACCTAGTCCTCAGAGCAGTACAGAAGTGGCAGAAAAGAGGGAAAGTGACAGAAGGCTCTAAGAATCACTAGGGTTTTCTGTTTGTTTATTTTCAGATTGTCCACAAACTTCAATTTGACTATGGTAAATTTGAAATAATTGTCTAATGATACACTTCTGGAGAAGCAGAATGAGATCAATCTTATCATTTTTTTCTATAAATGAAACTAGAAGAAAGAAGCTTTAACTAAATGGAAGGATGGCTCTCAAGTTCTCCTTGGATGCTAAAGAAAGCTGGGGGAGATGGTTTAACATACAACCAAAGGAAACAAGAAATATTACTGCATGAAATGTTGCAGTATCAATGATAGGTATTTGGAAAAGGACTATGATGAAAGTAAATGCAGCTTATACCAATATCAGTTTCTGAGAATGAAGCTGAGAGAGAAATTTGACAAAGAACCTGTTAAAATCTTCCAAATCAAATTAACATATATGTTAATATTCAGTGACTTAAATTCAAAGGTGAAAAAAGGTGATGGTGGGAAGAAACATGGAAAAGCATGGCATAGGGAGAAGTAAAAAGAGAGAAAAGGCTTGGATAGTACACAGAAGCCTTATTTTGGGGGGGGAAAAATTGGTAGATGCTTAACACAGGGATCACTAAATAAAGTCATAATGAATAAGATAGATTATAATGCATTTTAACATACAAAAAAAGACTTGTTATTGATATGCGAGTTATCCCTGTGTATAGTCAGACCACTAACTCATCAGAGTTAGGATCAGCATCAGTTTAAAAAAAATTACAGAAATGAAACAAGAAAAATAATGAGAAAAAGATATAGCATGCAAAAGAAATTACTTAACTGTGAATCAGATAAGTAATTGAAAGTAAAAAATGAGAAACAGATAACATAAATTATATCCAACCAGACTATAATTTTATTCAGATGTTTAACCAATGGAAATCAGTGTAATTAACTGCGACAACAAACAGATCAAAAGAGTCCGGCAAGCATCCAAGACAGCAAACATCTGACACACCCGACAAAGTAAGAGAGCTGGATGGCTGCAAAGGGCAATGACAGGTTAGAATATATACTTGTTTATAAAATTTTAGGTAGGATGACGGGCCATTGTGAGCAGTACTGTCTCATAATGCAGAGAGAAAACAGTGGAGCAAGAAAGTTTGGTAAGATATGCTGTTTTCTCTATCAAGGATGATAAATTCACAATACTTGAACTCTAAAAACAGTCCTTGATGTGCTTAAAGAAGAGGCAATAAGACACTAATGTGAAGAAAGACAATTGAATTAAACCAAATATATTTGTAAAGGGGATCTGCAAAGGCAATAAAATCGTGACAGCATTGAAGGACTATCTATACACGTATGAAAAAAAAATC